TGTGGTTACTCTGTATCGGTAAATTGCCTGAAGCGCCGACACTTCCTCATCATTCCACCGCTCCAGTGTTGTAGTACGTGTGGTCATAACTGCTTTAAAGTACAAAAAAACTACTCGCTCAGGTGTGGATGTGGTTTTGTAGCGAGGAAAATAATCTAACGGGGCGTGGTTTGCAATTCGCCCAGCCAATAGAAATAGAATAGAAATTGGCACTCTTTTATCACCAGGTTCGTACCACCTCTCTAGCAGGGACTGAAAATGGCCAAAAGAGTTCCCGGCACTGAGTAGTCCCGGCAGTGTGAACGCGACATTATTGGTACTAACGGAACTAAAGAACCAAAGTACCAGGGAAAGTCCTGCGGTGTGAATGCGGCTATAGTCCTGTACCTTGTATCTGTGATCTGGCTGATTGTGATTCCACAATGGTAGTATGTGTAGTTTTTTTTCTTCCTATGGTCCTAGAGTAAAAGCATAAAAGACGTTAAGATATGCAATGTATAGAGTCCCTGAAGGCATCAGACAGATACACATTTGACCGACTGTCCCCGAAGGCACCGTGGAAGACGCGCCTTACGTAGCAGTCACGTGTTTGCGTCAACAGAAACAAACATGGCGCCGCGAAAGTGAGGAAAACTCTGATGTGAGTGTGATGTTTCTACTCCGGTTATTATGCGATTTGTTGTTGTTTCACGGAGCAGTTTAACAAATAAACACACAAACGGAAGACGTTTAAAGGAAGCTTTACCGATAATTGTGTGCATTTATCTGATTTCAGTCGTTTTGGGCTTCTCATTTAGTCTTTTTATTTACACTTAAGTTATTGTTGAAGGTCCAAGTTCGTATATCCCAGACAGATGAGAGGGGGAAAAAAAGACCACTCATCTTCATCTTGTCCTTGTTCATCGTCAACATCATCATCAGGTAACTGCTCCGACAAAAGCACGTTTTTTTAATCAGAATCCTTAGTTCATGCCCATATTAATAAGTACAAATCTTTAAAAAATAATAATTGTGTCTTATGAGGCACACCACTTGATTACCGATATATCGTAAATTACGTCCTGTATTTTAGTGTTTCTTTTCCATTTTATATGAATATCTTCAGGAAAAATCTGCAATCGATTTCACATTTCATGTGACACAGTTACTCCAAATTGTATTTATCTTTTCATTAGTTTACTTATACTCTACCATCAGCAAAAAAGGTTACCTAACATATTCACACTGTCTAATTATTATTTATTTGACCCCCCATTTAAATCATTTGGTAAGGAATTCCATAGTTTAACTCCAACTACAGATCAATCAAATCAATTAAGCCTTGTATAATTACACTATACAACTATTTATATTAGATTTTATTACAGATTGTATTTTTTTTTTTATAATAATAATAGTAATACAAATGTTTTTTTTTTTGTGTCACCTTAGCTCTGGCCCGATTGAATACCAGCGCAAATGCTTTGTGTTGAGAAACTATTTGAAACTACTGGATTATGAGGAAAATGTAACTCTTGAAGTCTCTTCTGTGTCTTTTTTTGTATCAAAGTTTCTTAGGAGCAGACCAAGATGGCTCTAAGGAAGCAAATACTCAAGGATACCAGCGACATTCCCTGTGGAAGCCAACAGGTAGACAACAACTCACAGGAGGAGGACGACGACGAAGACAACAATGTAAGGAAATGTGAACATTAGTTAGAATTAGCTGAGATAAATACAGGTTCATATGTCTAAATCCAGCGTCACTGAAGCAGTTTTTAATAGTACATTAGCAGGTGGAGCTCGGGGATTAGACAATGTTTTTATTTTTCATTTACGTTGCAAGCAGCTGTTTTCTACCCACATTTTTCTGAATTTAAATTAATAGTTGGATTAAAGCTTGACATTTTTCTCTGCAGGTTTCCTGTAGTTTCTATTTTATCTTATCTTAAACGCTCTTTTCAAAAACAAGCAGATGTGATGATTCAGTTGTGGCTAGATAGTCAATTGTGAGTGGTGGTTTTATGATAATTTGCTTGCTAAAAAAAGACAATGAGTTACACCTCGGAAGACACAGATCCAGAAAACCTAAGACTTCCACAAAATGAACCGCACTAATTCTGTTTGTTTGTTCTTCCAGGAGGAGCTCTCATCATCACTTCTGTCGTTATCAACAAGAAAAAAAAACAAGATAGAGAGGGAAAACAAATCCAAACAAGGTACATCACAGTTAGGGTACCAACGTCATTTCAAAAGCATTGAGCGTATGTGCGGCGTAAACACTGGGTAAGATTGAGGAATTGAAGAAAGGCAGATATAAAGTGAATTGAGCTAGAAATTATCAAAATAATTGAAACACACACATGTTATTACTGTGACAAACAAAACAAAATACTACTGCTACTATTATTTTTCTTAAAATTATGGATTTTTCACATTATCTTGTAATAAAATTCATTATTGAAGCTCCTGAATCTCTTTGAGATGCTATGTCATTCTCAAAATGGTCATGTATATCGACACAAGTAAGAATCTAAAACCATTTTCTTTATCAATATGTGATAAAAACAACCCTGGCTTCTGACTCGTGTCTCTGTTGTCCTCAGAGATGACTGAGGAGGAGATGATGGACTTGGCTCTGCGTCTGAGTGAACAGGAAGCCAGCGTCACGGCGCTCAGACAGCAGCAAGAGGAGGAGGCCATGATGAAAGCCATCCAAGAGAGCGTAAGTAAAGAGGAGTTTTTTTTGTTGTAATCCTCCCTTTTATGAAGGTTTTATACAGAGGAGGGAACCTTAAATAAGTTTGAATAAATAAATTCATTAATAAATACAGCATAAGTGAATAAATGTGGAAATAAATAAATACTGGAATAAATAACTAAAAGAATAAATACATTTGGAAATAAATAAATAAAAGTTGAAACGGAAAAACATTTTATTATCTTAAATATGTTTCTACATTTATATTGACTCACTTCATCTAACAGGGAAAAACATGCAGAATTTACTAGAAGCTGTTCCTGTTTGTATCTGAGGATCAACAGAAAACTGTCATTGTATTATTTTAGTTAGATAATAATAAATTACTGGGAAGAGGAATCAATCTTTGACACAAATTACGTCAATCTAGTTGAAATAGCTAATATAGTATCTAGATAATTATTTAATACCTATTTGTCTTGTTTGTTTCTCACAGATTGTCAGTCAGACAGAACCGAGCCCGGCACCCCAGAGTCAGAGCCTGCTGGACGATGCAGAGGCTTCACCCGGCGTCTGCTCCCGACGGAAACTCCTTTACTTAGGCGGGAAGACGGCGTCTGCCATCGACCAGGGAGCGTCAGCGGACATCCGCACAGCAGAGACCGACCTGAACCAAGGTGAGTCTGTCACATTACTACAGAACTACACTCTAGCTATTGTGCATATGAAAAAAAAGCCTTTGAATCTTGAATCAACGTAGTCACAGAAGGAAAGTCTTCAGGGTTTATTTAAAGAAATCACAGCTTACAAATCCACACGTCACGTGGCGGTCCACTACCAACTTAACAGTAATCGACACTTTAAATTGGATTTAGAAGAATTACACATTATCACACAATCACGGGGTTGAACGCTTGCTAGTATATACAACCGTCTTGACAACACAAACATTTACTATAAATATTTATACGTCTAAATGGCTCTTACAGTGAGTAAGACTTACCATTGCGATAAAGTTCTGTTCTGTTTTTTTTAATTAATTTTTTTAATTTTTTATTCATTCATTAATTTTCACATTGTCTGCAATGCCTTGTTTACATGCTACTGTAACGAAAATATTTCCCAAATTGAAATCAATAAAGTTGATCTTATCTTCAAACATGCTGTATTGTATTTTCAGGAGCCAAAGGAACTGGAGGTGAACGTAATACCTTGAGAAAAAAGTTGAAAAGGAAAGAAGGAAGCCCTCTGCTGGAGATGCCAGATTTGTCGCAGTCTCAGAAAATCTCCGCTCAGGATTCCCCCGGCAGCTCAGACTGCCTGTCAGCGGCTCCGGACTCCCCACAGGTCGGATAAAGTCATTTCTACCCTATTTGTCCTTAGAGTGATCCGTTTATTTGGTTCACTTTTGGTTGTTGATTCAATTAGTAACCTATTCCATGTCAGAAAACGTTGCTGGTCAGTTTCTAACGTCCTTAGCTCATGTCTTTAAATGCCAAACTCAAAAATATACAATTAAGCAATTATAATTCTTATAATTTAACATTTCTCATCATAAATATCCCAGAACACAATGTGATATTTTTGCCCAGTTTCCCCACCTTCCACACCCCAAAGACGTTCAGTTACTGACAATGAGACAACTCACATTAGAGAAGATATAGACACAAATCTGAAATAGATTATCAAAATATTTCACTATTGGTTTTCTTTTGATGGACTAAATTCTCTTTTTTAGCCTTAGTTCTTTTATTTTTTATTATTATTGCCATGACAGTTTATCTTCTTTGACTGTTTTTATGTATCAGAATCTGAATCTTTAGAAGTCCCGCATCATGGAAATGTACAACGTTATAGCAAAAGGCAAGCAATAATAAAATGAAGACAAATAAGTACTCATCCATGGCTAAACAATTAGTAGCATCATTTAAATAAGTAAGTGTACATATTAAGGTTTGAGATGCTTTAAAATGTATGTTTTGCACCTAGAAATTATTATGTCATAGTAGAATTCCTCGTATGTTTTAACCTACTTGGCAGTAAACCTGTTTCTGATTCTGATTCTGAATCAGATCTCCGACTCGACCCAGATCGAGGACTGCCAGCCCCCTAAATCCCCCGTCTTCCCCTCGCAGGGCTGCAGAGCCAAGGTCCTCGTCCCGCGTCTGAGCCAGGACATGCTGCAGACCTGCAGGAGCTCAGGGTTTGTGTTGTGCTCTCAGGACACTTTGACCTCCACACGAGAGTCTCCGTCTGCTCCGGGCAAGAGCCCGACATTCCCAAAGAGCCCCAAACTCTCCAGTAAGCTCCCACTGTGCAGGAGTCCTCTCTTCTCCGACCTCGATGAGGGAGACGATGGAGAGTATTTTAAAAGTCCAATGTTTGGCTGGAATACTCAAAACAAGACGTCTGCAAGTGCCTGCAGACCCCAAGACTGTAAATCGGGGTTTACGTTTTCCTCCCAGGATAGTTTAACCCCCTCTGTGAGGTCCACTTCCTGTCTGCCCAAGAGCCCAGTATTCCCAAGAAGTCCCGGCCTCCCCAATAACCCCCATCCCTCGGAAGGTTCAGCAACCTGCAGGAGTCCTGTGTCCTCAGATTCCGACGGAGGACAGGCAGAGCAGAGTCAGGGATTTTGTAAAAGCCCAGTGTTCGGCAGGACTGGACAACGAGAACATATGAATATTGATGTGCAAACCCACTCCTCGGGTTCAGGAAGTGAAGGGAATTCAACCCCTACCAGGGATTCGTCTCCGAGTCTGGTGAGTTCAGGCGCAAGACAAGTAGGACGGAATAATGTGAATCCTCGTAGCTTCATTTAAAAAAAAAAAGAAAAGAAAAACATAGTCGCTTAGGAGGCTAAACTTGGCTCGTCATTGTGACTCTTACCCAATAAGCAGTCGGTACTGAGGTTAAGTTTCACAATGTTTGATAAAGAAAATTATACAAACAATAACCAAAGTAGAAACATACAGTCAAAAAAATGATCCGAACCAAATCACCTTCTTTTTCTAATCACACAACAGGTGGAGTAAATACCTTACCAGGGGTTCTCAAACCTTTTTTTTATGCGGACCACTATTTATTATCAAGGATTTTCGCGGACCACCAATGCGAACCGTAAAAATAAGTAGGCTACATATATAAACGTAGTGTTAAAACGCCGATATTTTTATTATAGTTAATTATAGACAATCAAAAGTAAATTGAAGCCTATCTGATACTTTTGTGACCAGTGTCTGTCTGCGTTGTGTATGTTTCTCAAAGAGGACGGCGGAAGCTATTTTAATTAGGTAATCCGAAACAATGCCACAAGTGCGCACGCGCGCAGTGCACTCACAAAACGGGCAGACAGGTCTACAAAAACTACCGGTATGCTTAGTCCTACTTTAGTTACTGTACTGCAAAAAGCAGACGGCGCTGCGCTCAACACACACAGGCTCCAAACCATGGACACACAGTAGGGGTGTAACGGTTCACAAACATTTCGGTTCAGTACGTACCTCGGTTTTTAGGTCTCGGTTCGGTACGTTTTCGGTACAGCAGAAAAAATTATCACAAAACATAAAATATATATATATATTTTTTTGTTATTATTAAACTGTGAATAATGTATTCACTCAAATAAATACAAAATATAATAAAATAAACATTAAGGTGCAGCATTTCGATGAACTGAAATAATCTGTATTTGAACTTTACTGTACTCGTACCTAAGCAGCCAGTTTGACATTAGGACTTGCTTGTCATTGTATTTTCATTGTTTTTTAAAGAAAGATGAACTTGTCTACATTGCTTACCGAAAGGGCAGATCTGCTGGCACTAACAATGTCTCCTGCTGTGGAGAACACCCTCTCGCTAGG